CAAAGCAACAAATGGATCCAGCTCAGCAACCAGACATGGCACAGCAATCTACCAGTGCAGCGAAGCTCGTTCTTCTTCGGCTTACTGGCGCCTTACTAGAAACCATTAGAGACACAGGAGTTGGTTGGATCTTTTCATGGAAGCCTGCAGGCTTGAGCTTGTCTTCAATGCCTGTGGTCTTCGTTGAAGGTTCTACACGCAGGGTACTTGGTCGAGGCACTGTCGTGTCTAGCGCAGACATTAAAACCTTTGCTCAGCTACGTTCTAGCAGACCCTTCGGCGTTTCCGATATGGAGCAGCGTGTGTGGAGAGATCGTGCCTAGCCACATTATACGATGCAGCAGTCAGATCGGGGGGATGAAAACCAGTTTTGCGTTCAATGTAGAGATAATGTAAAGTGCTTGCGCTTAGACTTCCGGAAAGCGATTGGAATGCAGATAGAATATGAATATATGAATATACTTACGTGATAAGTTCTGCATGCAACCAGTCGATAGAGCCAAACGCATGTAGAACATTCTTTTCGTATGGGAGTTCTTTCCACCAATGTTTGCTGAGGTGTGGTTTGCGCAAAGAAGACTCTTTTTGCCTGGAAATTTGAAGACATAATCCTTGAGACTGAGACCTTGGGCATAGACCCCCGCAAGGGACGGTCATACTACATCAGCGAAAGCGACATCAAGGTTGTTTCGACGCTGCAGATTCCAGATATGAGCTTGGCTTCCACAGCCAGCTACTTTGTAAAGAAGCTGTCCGAGTCAGAGAGGAAGCGGCTTCAAGATACCCTGAATGCATTGCACGGCAAGACTATAACTTTGGGATCAACATGCAGCGGGACTGACGTGATTATTCCTGTGTTCAAGCACACCTTCAAAACATTATGCAGCCTGTTCGATGCACCTTGCATTCAGTACAGTACAGTAGTGACGTTTCCTTTGTAGAAGATATGCACACACTCCAGTACGGCAAATAGTGAGCATCCATACACAAACACTGTACACCTTTTAGGCATATACAGTAGGAGCAGGAGTGTCTTCACATCCTATTGTAAATCCTAAGATATATCCCGGAAGGTATCTATCAAGATTGTACATTCCTTCAGTGTGGAGAACAATGAGAACAAGAGGCGTTTCATCTTGGCAGCCCATCGTGCTAGTGGCGAAGAAGACACCTTTCATCTTTTTCAAGATGTTGCAATGTTTGACTTCCAGATCAGCAAGGGAGAAAGCTATTGCTTCACATGCCACTGTTCTCACAAGATTCCGCAAGCTGTAGACGTTCTAGTCAGTGGCCCTTCGTGCAAGAATCTCAGCAAAATGTTTCAGCATCAAGCACACTACAAAGACTGTTTCTTGGCTTGCCAAATGCTGCCAAATATTGTACAGTACATTGCAGTGAGTGCTCATGGACCGGTGTTTACAGTACAGTAGTATGTTTGCCACACAAATACGTAACAAGAATTGTTGGTCGTTTTTGAAACTGATTGACACCTTGAAGGCTACAGCAGTGGAAGTGGAACTAGTGGCAACACCTACAAAATGGGCGTGCTGAAGGCGCTGGAATGCACAACGCCGGCAATCTTCATGTTCGAGAATGTAACCACTGTGGCTGACCGCACCAAAGATGGCTCTCCATCTCCGGTAGAGGCTGAACGGAGTTAAACAGTCAAACCCCATATGCCATATTCCTTGCGTGAGGCTTTTGGAGAAAGGGGTCCTATACTGTACAGCATACTGGCACGCACAGATAGAATATACCAGCAAATCAATATATCTATGCGCATTTATGTGCTGCTGCCCTGAAGGTGATCAGCAAAGACCTGAAGAACATGGGATATATGTTCCAATGGTCCAAGCTGGATGCAGCTCGGTACCTTCTCACCCAGAGGAGAAACCGAGTCTATGTGACAGGTGACCTTGACCATGGGCAAGACTTTGAGGAGTTCTCTCTTAGAATGCGGGAAACACTGATGAACCTGTCTGGTGAGTCCACATTTGCTTTTGAAGATGTGTTTGACACTAGTCTTCCAAAAGTTCCGCTCCATGGGACAGCAAAGACCAAATTGGAAGAAGCAATTAGACTGTGTCGTTTGCACAACAAGGCGGCAGATGATGTTTTTGTGGACACATCGACTAGTTCATCCAGAGTTGCAGAGATGGCAGTGGGTGTATCCACCTGCACGCGCCCGTCACACCAAATATACAGCCACAGACTTGGCAGGTGTATCACCATTCATGAGATGTTCAATTGCCAGGGGATCTGGAAGAATGACTTTTCATCACCGCAGGCAATAGACGATGAGATCAACAACAACCCATCAAACGCGCAGGATTTATGTGGCAATGCTTTCGCATCCACAGCTGCTCAGGCTCAGCTGATTGCTTCTCTGGTCAATGCAACTGGTTGGAAAACAATCAGCGGTGGCCACAATGGAAGCCCCTGTGCAAGCTCTGCTTCACTGCCGAGCCCATGTGATACATCACAAAGGTCACTATCCGTTGAGTCCATCCCCGGTGATGCCACTGACACACGACGTGGTCCTGTGGAGAAGTACTTCACTCCACGCAAGAGGCAAAGAACAGATATCTATCCAAATCCCAAGCGGTCCAGCTCTAGCAGCTTCAGCAGCAAGGCTTGGTACAGTAGATAGAAAACTCAACACGCTACAGTACAGTACACTAGAAATAATTGTTTTAAAATCAATCGAACGAGCAATTGAATGCAATTTATAAATTAATTGGAGATAGTGCAGATAGAATATTAAGCCAACACTGGGCAGGTGCAGGCTCGCGATATGACTGAAGAGCAACTCCAAATCTTTTGGTCTCAGTTCAAGCTGCTGGAAAAGGACGGGCCCATATATGACAAACCTCCCTGCAACTGGCAACCGCCCAGGGTTGTTGACATGAACTCAGAGCAGCTGGAGGCATACTGGAATGCATTCAGGAAGATCATGAGTGATGCAGCTGATAAGCTTCCGGACGCTGAAGATCTGCAATCTTCAGCCGATGAAGATGAGACCGGCCCAGCAGTTCATCAAGTTGTTCCTGCTGATTCTGGTGATGAACCTGCTGCAGATGTGGTTGTTTTGGAATCTGGTGAGGGACATCATGGAAATCCACGGATACGTCGGTGCAGAGAAAAGACTTCTATGGCGGATGCAATATTGACTCAGAGTGTAGTGTTGTCTGAGACAGCGCCTAATCAGAATGAGACTTTTGCTCGGAATTCTGTGAACCCCAATCATCCAGATAGCGTACCACGCCGGTGCAACAAAAAGACTCATTCAGACGAAGCAGTGATATCTCAGGGCCACCTGGAGGCCTTGCGCTTGAAGTCAGCCACCAGCAAGAAGACCATGCTTTGCAAACAGCCTCCCAAAAAGCGCAGGTACACTCCAAAGTGCAAGATCTCCAGGGAAGGGAAGAAACCGTGCATATCAATCTGGTCCAAAATTGAGCTCTTCAAGGAGACCAAACCAACTTGACATGTTCAAAAAAAAGCACGTTTCAAGCATATTGTCGCATAAAGTTTTGGGGCCGGGCTTATGCAGTAGTAGTATTTCCGTATTTTCCTGCCAAAAGATCAACAGTCAACAGCGGCTAGGAGTTTGAACGGTTGAAGGCGGATCCGAGTGTGAAGCATCCTGAGAAGCACATGCTGAACAAACAGAGGCGAGCAGGCCAGTACCAAGGGTGCTTTGCGAAGTGGCAGAAGAGACGTGTATCCCACAAGTGGGACTTGTTCTGCGAGATTGCTCCAAAACAGGCCAAGATATGCACAGAAATTCCTAACAGTGTGAAGGTGCTACTCGGTGTGTCAGAGCTAAAGCATGCCAACTCCAAGTTCAAGAACGAAGATGGTGCACGTCAAGTTCCGGTACACTTGGCATTGGCTGTAGAAAGCATCTTAATGGAAAGGATTCACATGGGGGAGGAGGTGACAATGGATTTCGCGGCAGAGGTGTTGCTTGCAATGGTCAACACTTGGAACTCCAAGATATCAGAATTGTCGGATGAGATTCGCGAGCGTTGTGGGCAGCAATTTTTGCAGCAGCAGGATTCCATGATTGACACAGAAGCAGCAGGGCCAGATGCAGACCGGTTGGATGAACAGGCCACGAAACAGCTGGATCATTTGCTGGAGTTTCTGAGGCCGTGCCACCTCACTCAAACTCACACTGCATTCATGCAACTTGATGGCAGCGGGGTGCTCAAACATATTATGTTTCTACAATACATTGCAGGAAACGTGTTGTTGTAGCCAGCTTTAGTGGAGTTTTGCTAGACTGTAGAGAGGTAGGAGGTGCAGTTAGAATTAGAATAGTAATTTGAATATGTGAGAGTTTGACCGTGCTCTGATGGCTCAGGCGATGTGTTTCCAGAATGTGCAACAAGCTCGGACTGAAGACTGCAAGGATCAGCAAGCAAACTAGACATCTCCCATACAACCATCCGAGCATGAGCTTGGTACGGGACTGGGTGAAGATGGCTGTGGCCACCCGAGGGATACATGAAAAATTGATATGTCACTTCGATCAAGTGTGGACGACTCATTATGAGCCATCCAAAAAATGTCTCTACAAGGACGCCAACAAGCTAGGTGAGTTGGTTTCTGACAATCACAAGAAGCCTTCCCAACAAAGGATGCTGGATGAAATCAAATCTTCTCTTTGTTTGCCAGTTGCACCCCGACAAGGGAAGACTGAGAGGGGCCCAAAGCAGGCAAAGCTTTGTGCTCAATCTACACTCGTACCAGTGGATTATCAGCGATTAGCAAGAACAACTACCACTCTATCGTGGTCAGATGGCTCTATGGGTCAAGCGTGGGTCACAGCTCCTGCTTCGGTTGTGTCTTCTGCTGAGAGAGTTCGTTTCTGAAACAAGACAGTACTGTGCAGTTAGAATATACATAAACATATATATATGTACTGTACAGACTGCTCCTGCTTACTGTAATTATGTTCTTTACAATTATGTTGAAGACGGTGGAAACGAATACAGTATGTGTTCAGCCCCTACTCTGAATGTTTGCAGATTTGAAACCCAAGGTCAGACTCACTTGCGCAGAAATTGAATCAGGAACTTCGAGGTGTCTTGCAAATATCTCGCCAACATGAAAGCTCTTCACACATGTGGAACAGTGAAACACTGACCCACTATTCGGCACACCTTTCCCAAGAGATTAGAAGACGTCGGCAAGTCCTCGGCCTACCGTTCTCTGCCACTTGCCTTGTGCTGGCTGACGCTGCATCAGTTCACGGCTGTCACCTGTATGAACAGTTGAGAGCACAATTTGAGATTGACACCAACAGCATCTTGCTGCATGGAGGCAACTCTTTGAGAGTGGCGGCTGACAACCGGGTGCCAATTCCTGGTGGTTGGGGAGCGACGGGTGCACCCAACGACGCATGGCATCAGTATTGGCACTACTTGAGACGAGGGTTTCAGCGACTGAAGCTTGGGATGGGAGCAAGTCTGAAGTTGAGGCAAGCAGCAGCGGATATAGATTTGAGTGTTGACGGAAATGCAAGGTTTCAGCCACCAAGCAGCAAAGCGCATACGTTTGTTTACTTCTTTGTTTTTGTATTGACAGTATTTGTTTGTTTGTTGTTTTTATATTGCAGTTAGAATATGAATATGAATATGTATATATATATATATATCATCTACTTGCAGAGCAACACTAGGCTCAGCACTGAAGATTCATTTCGAGCAGATGCCTGGGCCCTCCAGAAGATTGCCACCTATCAACATGGAAAGGTGCTTCTTTGGAGCTGGGTCAGTCGTGGGTTGGTTGATATGGAGCAGGTGGCACGCTGGTACTACAACGGAGACATTGCGGCCGCTGAGAAAGCTTTATCAGCAACTCCAGGGGCAATGGCTGAACTTTGTGCTGTCGATGAGGTGCCGCAAGTAGATGTTACCACTGAGAGGGAACAAGTTGAAGCAGCCCAAGGCACTTTGCTCGATGGTGAAACCTCTTCTGTTTGGGCAATCTCAGATTGTGGAAACAATGCGGCAGATCCCATCACCTTGCCGATGTGGTTCAACCAACCAATTCAAAAAACCATTCTTCTTTGGAAGAAGGAATCTTCTTCTTTGGAAGAAGGAATCTGAGATATGGGATGCCAGACTCAGGAAACGCATGGAAGATGGAAAGGCAGGTCTGACTCCGAAAATGCAGACTGCTTATGATTCGTGGCTAGCTGAGCCACAAAGAACAATAGTGCTGGACAAACAGCGTCAAGCACAAGTTGTCAATTTGGCAGCCAAGCCCTTGTCAAAGCTGAAGAAGCATTGCTTAATGCTAGTCCTCCACATGAGCAAGGATCCAGAGGAATTGAGAATCAGATCTGGAAGCGGACAACTATGGAAGCTCCAACTCCTTCGTGGTTCTGCCCCGTCTTCATCGGAAGTTCCTAAAGACCTTGACCGTTTTGAAGGAGCGGATGATACACTGTGCATTGTAACATGTATGTATTGGGTCTGTTGTACTTCTAATGGATTTGCTTGCTACAGTACAGTACCATAGTGTAAAAGCAAAGTGCTTTACAAAACATCAGTCTCATCAGTGCAGTTAGAATATGATCCTTTGTGCACGACTTGATCGAAGGAGACCCACGGGCGGAGCAGCGTGCAATGGTGGAGGTTGAGGTAGAGCATGACAATATCCTCGGAGAGGACCTCAATCCCAATGATGGAGAATGTCAAGGAGACATGATCCAGGAGTGTGTGATGGACCACCAGGATATGGATGGCTTTGCAGAGGCTGATGATGAGCAGCTTTGCAAGGACATGGCAGATTGGATGCTTGTTCATGAGTCGGAGAGTGAAGATGAGGACCTTGCTGTGAATGCTCCCGCGCACTCTAGTGTAAGAATGCCAGCTGTGGAGATGCGCCCTGAGTACATCCGGCTGAAAAATGCTGGACTGCATTTGAGACCAGCTGGATGCACACTTGGGGTACACCCAAGCGCTTGTGTTTGGCGATCTAGCACTCCTACTTCAGTTCACTTCAGCCGATCGTTCACAGAGACAAGTGGGCGAACAAGTTGGCAGGCCCTGCTCATTGTCATGGAGCTTCTTCTCAGCTCCCACGTGGAGGCCAATCCAAATGACCGGATGTCAAAGCAGCAACTCTCGCGTGTGCGTCGAGCACGTGGTGCTGAGCCTGCACATAAAGACTAACTGAGTCCTGTAGTGTGCTGTGCTTTTGATGCAGCAGAGTTGACTTGCTATAAAGCCACCACAGAAGCAACCACAGTACTTGCACTACATATGGCCAAAATTTACGAAGGGTACACAACTTTTTGGTTGGTGTATGTTTGTGTGTGCGCCTGAAAGTTTGGATTGTCTTTTTCTTTTGAGTGTTCACACGTTGCTGTGGCAGAGCAGTCGCTTTGTCTGGAAATCCGAGCTCTTAATTTCCAGCCTGCATGTGCATGAATGTGTAAAGGCAGTCAAGTCTGGGGCCTGGGGAAGGAAAAAGAGCCTTCATATGAGCAAACGCCAAAACGTGCAACGACTACAGTACAAGAACTTAGCAAAGAGCGGTCGTGAATCTTTGGTGATCGCAAGAAAGAAGTAGGTGGAGGCCATTGCTATTAGGTTGGAGCCCATTGGAGGCCGTTGCTACTCGGTTGTAGGCCATTGCTATTACTGTAGGTTGGAGGCCATTGCTATTAGGTTGGAGGCCATCGCTAGCAGGTTGGAGGCCATTGCCATTAGGTTGGAGGTCATCGCTGGTAGCTTGGAGGCCATTGCTATTAGGGAGGCCACCGCTAGTAGGTTGGAGGCCATTGCTATTAGGTTGGAAACCATTGCTATTAGGTTGGGGGCCATCGCTAGTATTGTACAATATATGAAAATCTTTGTCCAGCAGACTCTGGACATCATGAACTATATATTTTATAAATGTTGGTTGCAATTTTTGTAATTTGGGTATGTCATTGTGTTTGTCATGTGTCATGTGTTCCTTTCAAACTCTTTACAGTACTCTTCCTATCCATTTTCCTTTAGCATTCTATACTTCGCTACACTTTTCCCATGGGTTCTTCTTTGAACATTATATACTTTTGGAGACGTCTACATATATATTCTAACTGCACTGCTTTTGTAATGTTTCAATAAGAGCAGGCAAAGGTTATCAGTAGGCAAAGGTTTGCCTGTTTGCTAGCCATTGTGTAAATGATGATGCCGGTTATGCGCATGATGCTCATGATGCTGAGCCATATAGTTTTTAATTGTCTAAAAATGATCTGAAGCTCAATAGTTGTGTCCGTTTTCATCCGATTCTGTTGAATTTAGTCCTATCTCTTCTCAAAGTTCTTGAACATATTGAATTTTCACCAGTTTCCCCCAAAAATCCGAAATGTTATGAAGTGGCCTCAAACCTCTTGAAACCTCAAGGAAAGACAGGAAAGGAAGGAATCGGACCAGGAAACTATCCAAAAACATTGAATTTTTCACATTTTCCAAAAATCCTAAATTTCAAGAAATGGCCTCAAAACTCTTGAAGCATCAAGGGAAGACAGGAACTGAAGGAATTAGACCAGGAAAATAACTAAACATTAAAAATTAACAAGCTACTTTTGGTTCACTTTTTCTCCTCTCCCCCTGTCTCTGTGTCTCTTCCCTTAACGGGAGACTGAACCCTGGCAGCCAAGGAGTGATGAGTGACCGGTCCGTTCCTTCAGGACTCCAAGTAACGGGGGGAGAGGTACTTCGCTGCCGGTCCTACACGGCGGTCCGGGTGCCGAGAGGTGGGGCCGAGAGTGCCGAGAGATGCCCCCGCTCCCACCATGTACACAGAGACAGGGGGAGAGGAGAAAAAGTGAACCAAAAGTAGCTTGTTAATTTTTAATGTTTAGTTATTTTCCTGGTCTAATTCCTTCAGTTCCTGTCTTCCCTTGATGCTTCAAGAGTTTTGAGGCCATTTCTTGAAATTTAGGATTTTTGGAAAATGTGAAAAATTCAATGTTTTTGGATAGTTTCCTGGTCCGATTCCTTCCTTTCCTGTCTTTCCTTGAGGTTTCAAGAGGTTTGAGGCCACTTCATAACATTTCGGATTTTTGGGGGAAACTGGTGAAAATTCAATATGTTCAAGAACTTTGAGAAGAGATAGGACTAAATTCAACAGAATCGGATGAAAACGGACACAACTATTGAGCTTCAGATCATTTTTAGACAATTAAAAACTATATGGCTCAGCATCATGAGCATCATGCGCATAACCGGCATCATCATTTACACAATGGCTAGCAAACAGGCAAACCTTTGCCTACTGATAACCTTTGCCTGCTCTTATTGAAACATTACAAAAGCAGTGCAGTTAGAATATATATGTAGACGTCTCCAAAAGTATATAATGTTCGAAGAAAAACCCATGGGAAAAGTGTAGCGAAGTATAGAATGCTAAAGGAAAATGGATAGGAAGAGTACTGTAAAGAGTTTGAAAGGAGGATTGATAGAAAGAAATATCGGATTTTAAAGGACAATTGATAGGAAATGTAAAGGCCCTTACTATTTTGTTGGATGCCATTGCCATTAGGTTGAAGGCCATTGCTATTTGGAGGGCATTGCCATGAGGTTGAAGACCATTACTATCAGGTTGGAGGCCATCGCTGTGAGATTGAAGGCCATTGCTTTTAGCTTGGGGGCCATGGCTAGTAGGTTGGATGTCACCACTGACACACTTAGTACTCATGATACCACAAATTCTATCTGCACACAAATTCTATCTGCACATCGCTGCCGGATCCTGGGATTTAAATTTTTTTGATTTGTTTGAATTCTAACTGCTGGTCTGTTAGAGTAACCTTTGTTTGGCAGTGGCCCTTCTTTAACCATAAATCTCCAAGGAATCGATCAGAGAGGCTTGCGTTTTTGGGGAGCATATATGGACTACAGTCGCAAGCGGACCGTGGAAGATGCAGCATCCAAGCTATATTGTGTTGGAAGTTAGGTTGATGTCATTGTCTTGATGACATTTGTTTTTGTCTATGTCGTAATTGTTTCGCTCATGCAAGGTCTTACAATGGTACTTCGACCTTGTAAAGTCATATGTATGATTCTCAATTGGAGAAGCTTCAATGGCTATGGTTCAGGCCCTCAATGCATGACTCCGGACACTTTGCTAAGCAAAAGTGTGGCAAAAAAATGGTTGCCTGCAGACTCTTTGGTGAAAAGCACACATGTCAGACATGGCAGACTGATCAATCATTTCTTGGAGGTTTCTTTGTCAGACATTTCATGCTAGGTGCCGATCACACTGCAGGTGATTTTGGCCCAGTATCCCAGGACCAGTGCTCACATTCTAATCCTCCATCCTGAAGCTTGGCTAGTGTCAGGCATGGAAACACCAACTCAACTCCCTTGCGGTGCTAGTGCTGGTGGTGACGAAGTCAACGAAGGCAAGGCAGTCAGGGCAGTGGTGTTACAAAAAACATATTTGTTCACACGAAACTCACGAGACACACAATGTCACCAATTTCCAATGTACCAAGTATTTGCCATTCACATGTTAAATGTTTTTGAAAGTCCATGTAACTTACTACAGGACGTGCACACGCAACTGAAGATAGACGACGCGCAGAAGCAGCTATTGGTGAACTCTTGCAGCCCACTATGTCAGAGGATAAACGCACAGCATTGGCGTTCTATGTCTTATTCAAGATCTTGGAGGAGTTCTATTCGCTTCGCCGTGAGTTCAGGACGTTCACTCATGAGATGGCCAGAAACCAATCTGCTCCAGAGCAGCCACAGCCTCATCCAAATCGTGATGAGCCACAGTCTGGTGAGCCAAATCGTGAGCGGTCTAGGTCCAGGAGTCGCACTCCTAGGAGATAGTGTTTCAGTTTCATTTGATCAAGGTGCGACTGCACAACTGGAAACTGTAAAATAGAAAGATAATGCAATTTGACTGCATGTGCAGAAGATGTGTGCAAAACATTGGCATCAACAAATTGAAATCGTTCAACATGTCATTTCAATGTGTTCAGTCTCTCTGGCAGTGAGGAATCAGGTTCAAGACTGTTTGAAGTGGATAAGAACTTTTGTCAGCTTCACTTGACAATTTTCACAATCATGTCATGTCCTTGTTGTATGTCCCATGTCAGTCTTTAAATCAACTAGTTTTTTGACGCGCGACTGTGTGAATGATGGGAAGCTCGCAAACCATGATGCCACAAGATGGTCCCATCTTGGAAGATGATGAGCCAGTTATCGTGGACAATCTTGATGATGATGATGATACTTACCGCGTCAACATGACATCAACAAGTCCCAACTTGCGCCAGGACGGACGGTTGTAACTCACTTCACTTACATGATAAAAACAAAACATACTGAACTCCAAACCTCAAGGGAACGACAGGAACTGAAGGAATATGACCAGTAAAATAACTAAGAATTAAAAATTAACTAGCTACTTTTGGTTAACTTTTTCTCCTGTCCCCCTGTCTCTGTGTCTCTTCCCTTAACGGGGGAGTGAACTCCAAGGGGTGACGTGAGAGGTTGGACCGCTTCTCGGAGCACCAGTCGTCCCAGTTGCCCGGTCACCCCTTGGAGTTCACTCCCCCCGTTAAGGGAAGAGACACAGAGACAGGGGGAGAGGAGAAAAAGTTAACCAAAAGTAGCTAGTTAATTTTAATTCTTAGTTTTTTTACTGGTCATATTCCTTCAGTTCCTGTCGTTCCCTTGAGGTTTGGAGTCTGTTTAAAGGAAAAAGTTTAAAAACACACACATTGTTTTGAACATTTTATGACTTGGGTGTGTGTGCATTCGATTTTAGGTCGGTATATATTGACAGGCTTAGCTGGTCAATTTCTTTTTTTACTTTATATACTTTGGCAGGAGTCTGGAAATGTGAAGCAATGTGGAAAGCGAAAGGTCAGCGTGGAGGCAAGAACTTCACAGCAATTGACGGTGATTTGATAATATATTTCAGTCACTTCAGTCTCTTTTCTTTTGGAAATCTTTGTCACTTTGTCAGCTGTTTGTTTGTTTCACTTTTGTTTGTACTGCAATCAGGAAGATGAACCACCAGCACCATCATCAAAGATTCCCCCGGCGGCTTAACAGAAAGACAGCCTATGTTGAGCAGACACCACAAGAATTCACAATGAGAAGTGCGGATCTGTTCAAGTGGGCTGAGACACTCTGTGCTAAAGCACGTGATGCCGGCCATC